CCCGTGCACGACAAAACACACACACACACACACACACACACACACACACACACACACACACAGACAGACAGACAGGCTCATGCTGAATGCGGTTATATAAGAATGAGAAAAATAAGGCCAGACTCTTGGGACATTGGGAGATAATTGTCAAAGATGTTTTAAAGGTTATTTATGAGCATACAAAGTGTGTAATTATCCTGCCAGTTTCAGTTTGTTTGTGCAGTAATTGGGTTTACATTACAGACATACAAACAATTTATCAATAAGGATCATTCATGCAAATAAAATACAAAATAAACTTTAATTTTGCCAAGAAGAAACATTATGGCTTATATAGAGGTTCTATTCACATGCAAATTACCCCCCCCCCCCCTACAGCTCCCTAAAGCTAAGGGAGGCCTAGCACTCCCCAATTTCCAGCAATATTATTGGGCCTGCAACATTCATAAGCTTCTCTTTTGGAATAGGGATAGCTACTCTGACAACTGTCCACCCTGGGTGCATACAGAAACTTCTTCGACGAAAAGTGCTCTCTATTCTATTGTGTGTTCTCAACTTCCCTTAGTTTTAAGCAAAGTCTCAAATAATCCAGTAGTCACTAATACCCTCAAAATCTGGGTGCAATTTAGGAAATATTATGGCTTACATAGAGGTTCTATTCACATGCCTATCTTTGACAATTATTTTTTTCCCCCATCCAGTTCAGACCCTGCATTTCGTGTTTGGTCATCTAATGGCCTTCTCAAGATTAGTGACCTCTATGAAGAGGGCATCTTTGCCTCCTTCTCCTTTTTATCTAAAAAATATAATTTACCCAGTCATCACTTATTTCGGTTTTTCCAAATCAGACACTTTATACAGAAGCAGTTCCCTCACTTTCCTAATCGTCCCCCTGAAACGCACATTCATTTCCTTTATTTGAATATCAACCATAAGCATTTAATCTCAGTCATTAATAATTTAATAAATTATATTAATGTGGACCCTACTGACACTCTTAAAGACACTTGGGAGCACGACCTAGGAGTTACTATTACAGAGAATCTATGGCGTAACATCTTGACCCAGGTACACTCCTCTTCCTTATGTGCTAGGCATGGTTTGATGCAGTGTAAAATACTATTCACAGAGCTCACTTAAACCAATGCCCAGTTGGCTACATTTGTCCCAGATAGAAGCGCTGCCTGTAACCGCTGCAAACATTCACCTGCCGATCACCTGCATATGTTTTGTACATGTCCACAGCTGGCAACTTTCTGGTCAGGTGATACATTTAATAAAGCTCTCAACACTAATATAGACCCTGATCCCTTGTTAGCCCTCTTTGGAGTATCCCTTAGACCTGATCTGACAGTCTGAGATAGTAAAGTTGTTGCTTTTACAACTTCGCCCCCGACACAAGACAGGTGGATACAGGATATTTTTTTACTGTATCAGACATGAAAAGTTAAGATGCTCACTCTCTGGTTCACTCAAATCCTTTTATCAGACTTGGGATCCCTTTTTGGACTATATTAAAGCACTACCTTGTGCACCTGTAACTGGCAACATGCAATGTTTGTCATCTGTTAGAAGTGATTTAAAAAAATATATATATTATATATTATTACTTATATATTAGTACCACATTAAATACCCTGGTACATGAATTTAGGTAGCATGTTATATATATCAAAGTGTTGTTAATGTTATTATAACGTGGTGTGTCACACTGTCTCAGTTTATGGTCTACTGACACTGAAATATGCGAGTCAACAATTCAGAATCGTCCTTCCTTTCTGAGCCTCTTGAGGAGCCGTAGCTGTTCACTTTTCCTCCACGTCAGCTGCATCTGCGCACTGCTCTCATCCACACACACAAAGTTTCTTACACTGGTAATCGGACAGTAAAATCGTTCCTGACGTGACAATAATCGCATGGAGTGATGTTTAAGAAACTGAAGCAGAAGGTGATAGAGGAGCAGTCGCCTCAGCGGAGCAGCGCGCAGGCGCAGGTCAGTGCACTTAGCTCATGTAGCATGTATGCTAACAAAACAAAACACAACATCAAGTATGTACTAGAGTTATGAAGCCTAACACTCTTATTACTGTATTAAGCATTCAAATTACAACGTTAGCTCTTAAACTCTTAATAAAGTAGCTGATTAGTTATACACTAACAAAACAATATCAAGAAGCAATCAGATGGAGATGATATGGTACTTTGATATTTACGTTACCATGGTGCTGAGTGATTACCACATTCATGCATAATGGTATTTACATGGTATTTTAAATAATATTGTGGTACCGCCATGGTATTCTGTGAAGTTACCTTCTTAATACCACATTTCCATTATCATCTCTTGCTTGTCAACTACTTAATGACCCACAAACCAGCCTGACCTGCTAACCAGAGCTCTTCAGCACGTCTCCCTAAACAGACTTGATATTGACAGGTTAAACTTCTGCTTCAGTTGACATTCAAGTCCGTTTGGTTTAATTATCAAGTAAAGCTATGAACACAGAAGTATAAAAATGTTTGGGGGTGAGTTTAATAAAAATGATCAAAACATGTCATAGTTGAGAATTTAAAAAAAATATTTTTTATCTCTTTATTTTAATAAAATGAAATTATATTAGAACGCTAGGAACACATATGAACACTATGTACATTTTCAGGATTTTTTTTGGTTGAAACCTAACTATAAAACCAGCCTGCTGTAACATTATATA